ATTAATAAAAGAATTTTGCAAAATGGGTGATGAGACAGAAAATATCTAACGATTTTTTGAAATTTATACTATTTTAAAAAAAAAAGATTAAAAGAATTGTATAATACAAAATTTTATAGAAGAAAATGTAATTTAATATGATAATATTATTAATTACCAATCCAAAAGTAATAATTAACATTATATGATATAATTAATTAAATTGAAGTAGTTTAGTGCAATAATTAAAATAATAATATCTCACTTTTGTCATTGCCTTGGTGTCTATCACTTTTTTCTCTCTTCCAAATTCCAAAATCCAACCTAACTATTTTAGGATTTGTCTTTTCACCATTTTTATTTATTTGTTCTTGTAATTATAATATCTTCTTAATATAATTGAAAATGTATTATTCAAATATTTTTTATTAATACCCGACTCCGAAATTTAGTTCGGAATTAATTTTTAAATTAAAAAATATATATATAAATATTTTTTTTAAATTTATAAATTTTTATTTAATGTAAAATTAAGAAAAAATATGTAGATAATGAAATTGAAAATAATTTTTTTTTTAAAAAAAAAAAATAAACATTTGGGTTCGGAGATATTTTTGAAAAAAAAAATCAGAAACTCGGGATCAAAATACAATTAAAAAAAATTGTGTCATGTAGGATCGCCCAGTCAGCAGTCACGATGAACTGGAGTGTGCTGCGTGGCAAGGTACGCTAACTCGATGCCATGCGGGAGGCCATGCTGGCAATCTGCGTGCCCGCAATCGGAAGGTTCGGATATGTTCCCGCACGCGTGGACGGTTCGGATCTGTTCCCTCCTCAGGTGCGATAAGACGGTCGTGATTAAACGTAATGAACGATTCAGATTCATTTTCTCTTTAAATGCGATCATACGGTCGAGATCAAATCGCGATGAACAGTCAAGATTTATTTTTTCTTTAAACACGATCGGATGGTCGAGATCAAACGCGATAAACGGTACAGATTTAAGGAAGACGGATATAAATATCTCGCATCACACTGAACCCAAACTCTAATCGCCAGCCCTCCACCGGAGAAGAAGAACTAGTCACCCGATAAGGGAGCCGACCGTTGCCCGCTGTCGTACCAGTGCCATCTCTGACCGTAGGTAAAAATTCTTTTATCCGCTCAAAATTTTATTTCAAACACCTCCATGGCTAAATTAGTGAAAAAAGAATGGCGAATGAGCCGAAAACCGTGAGTAAAGCTCGGTGCCGCCGCGAAAAAAACTAAAAATCGCCTCCGATGAGCCCCTTTCTGTTTTTCGTTTCGTACAATTTTTTCACCATTGTGTTCATTATTCTATTTGTTACAGAATGACCGAAAAAAAACTCAGCCATGAAGGTGAGTCGGCGGAGCCGCCGTACCGAAAAATTTCGCTGCCTGGTAAGTTTTTATTTTTAGACTTTTTTCGACTAATTGAGACCCCCTAACGTATTTTCTCACAGGGATGAGTATAAAACAAGTAAAAAATGGTTAGTACGAAGCAAACCGCCGCCGTGCTGGAATTTTAAAATTAGTCAGAAAAGGTTTTCAACATTGATTTTGGATTTTTTTTTTTTTTGTGTTTTTAGGTACGTGAAATGTATTTTAATCTCTACATAAAAAATTTGGAAACCCGGGGACCGCCAGTAGGCATAGTAGAAAATTCATTATTTTGGACACCGATTCAAGTAAGAATTCATCACCTTATTCCTTATTATAGAATTGAAATTTAATTATCAATAATACAATTTTTACATAATTTAGAAAAATTCGAGAATTAATTACAGATTACTAATAGAAACAGAACCGGTTATTTATTATTGTTGTCCTATTTAACCGATTGTTTGATTTTATAGCTTTAAATGCATGATAATATACTGAAATTAGTAAAATGATTCAGTTGTGTTTCCTTGATGTATGTATTATTTGTCTTGCGTTGATTTACGGTTAAATTATAAAAGTAAAAATTAAATGTAAACAGAAAATTGATTGGTTAAGTGAATGAATGAATGGTAGCCTTACTGGATATCATGGGAGATAGTGGACGAATTTGGTACATAAGAAACCCTACTATGAACGTCGCCTCATACCGGACGAGATATCAAATATTGGTATTTTTGGCGCTCATACCGGACGGGGTATGGGGACGACTTGTTTTACCTTCATACCTGATGGGGGTATTGAGAAATGGTATTTTTGGCGCTCATACCGGATGAGGTATGAGGACAGCCCGTTTCATCCTCATACTAGACGGAGTATTGAGAGATGATATTTTTGGCGCTCATACCGGACGGGGTATGAGGACGGCCGATTATTTTACAAGGCTGGATGTTGGTTCACATGTAGTGGGACATCCATATAGACCCCCATTGATACCAGTAGGCAAATAAATAAAAAAAATAGTTGGTATTGCTCACTTGAAAATGAGATTGGAATGCTATTTGAATTATTGTCTCTATAGGTCAGTTTTGAAAATCTCGCAACGATAAGTATGCAATAAATTATTTTACTTATAATAAATAAATTTACTTAAATTAAGAGTTTCATTGGTTGTTTTTATAATTTTGACCAACCTTCATTTTCTGTATTAGTGAGTAGTGTGATATTCTTACTGAGTTAGTGTAGCTTACCCATTCATTGACTATTTCAGATCAAGAGGACTAAGACCCAGATTTCGATTACCAAAAGAGTTGTGAATAATTTACCACTCGGACTCCTTCAAAAGCTAGTAAAGGTCGTTCTAAAATGTTCAGTTGTTTACTTTTCGTTTATTTTCGTTTGTTTTTTAAGAATAGATATTGTTATAATTTTATTAGGTATTTTAAACTATTGTGTAAGAAATGTAAACTTTAACTCTATTATTCTGTTTACGCATTCAATTTATGATTTTATTTCTTTTTAAGTTTGGGACTGTTATATTTTATTATTTTTATTTATTTCTTTAGTAATCATGAAAAAAAAAATATCAATTCAATTAGAAGACATGTTACCCATATGAGATTTAAAAAATTATAAAAAAAAAAATTAAATCTCATTATAAAAGAATTCAATTTAATAATCTAAAAGATGACTATGTTCAAAATCAAGGATTTCTTTGCAACAAATGATTTATTTTTTGGTTAATTTATTTGTGAGTTTTAATTTTGTAAAGCATTTTCATTAATATATCCTAAATGATTTTTGTAAATATAAAAAATGAGATAAACAAATATTTTCCTCTTTTAAGGCCTTTCAATTCGTTTTTAAATTTTTAGTTTTAATAAAAATTTGGAAATGTAATATTATTTTAATATATTTAGAATTGAAATTACATATATTTTCATGTTTCAAATTTTTGGGTTTTATTTTCAAATTTGTATATTTTTTATATTAACAGGGCATTTATTTATGAAAACATATGTAAGGATGGAAAAAATAAATATATAAGAGATTAGTATCTAATTAAAATTTTAATCACATTTTAATTATTTGTCAGACCATCTTGAAATTTGCAAGTGTTTTGGGGAAAGTGGACATCAGGTGGATCACGCATGCACTAATTAATCCACATATGCATATATATATATATATAAAAAGAATATTAATTAAGTTAATAAATTAGATAAACACAAATCTTAATGCAGTAAATTTAAAATTAGATTTATATATGTTAATGCACGTGGTCGCCCGTTTAAACGACAAGAAGAAATGGGTTTTTGCTAATCATGTTTGGTGCATGAATATGAATATGAATATGAATATTAATATAATAATTAATTATGATTATAATTAAACAAAATTACCACCACTCATTTAAAATTAATTAATTTAATTTTAGAAAGCTAACCACCTTTTTCTTCCAACTTCTTCTAACTTTTTTTTTTTTTTTTAATTTTTTGAACACTTTTAAGGACCATCTTCATTTGATACCAACCATCAATGGTGTTTAATTATTCACTAATTTTGAGCCCATGTGGTAAGGCTTATGGTCTAATTTAATTGTGACAAATAATTTATAAGTTGTTACTTTATTTATTTATTTATAATTTTTAATTGTTAAATTTATTTAAACTAACAAAATTAACTTGTGACTTTTATGGAAGCACCACGTGACTACCACATCAATACCATGTGGTTGTCACGTGAATAAAATTTACATGGTTCTATTAGTTTTTTTTTTTTAACATATTAAAAAATTAAAATGTGAAAAACTAAATTATAAAATATTTACAAGGAAAAGGCCATTTAGGGGAAAAAAAATAAAAATAAAAATAAAAAACAAAATTACAGGTTTTCAGCTCTGGTACACGTGGATTGGATCCAAGTTAAGCCTTTAAGAGAGAATTAATAGGCCCATTACTTTCCTAAATGGGCTGCTACAAGGCCCGGTTCCTCTTTTTATAATGTTTGAAAACATATGTTTAGTAATAAGTACAAATTTTTAAATTAATTTCACAAATAAAATGTATTTATTTTATATATAATTTTTCATACATGGTATTTTTTATGAATAATTTTTTAAAAAATTTACTTTAATTTTTCAAATATATTATAAAAATATTGACTACTTTTTAAATTTTTTTATTAAAATATGATAGAATTTAATAATTTAAAATTAAAATTTTGATAAAACGTACAAAAATACTTAAATATTTTAAATTAGCTAATAACGCGGTTCTTTCATTATTTGGACAATAATTATAAACCTTTCATATAAATATTCATAATTTTATCCAATTAAATTTAATTAACTTTTAATTTTGTAAATAAAATTTAAACACGCAAATTAATTTTATTTTTTCTAAACAATGAATTAAACCTAAGTCCATAAAAATTTTAAATCATGAATAAAACTATCATATTCCAATATATTTTGTTCACTTCAACTTAAAACTTTTACCCTACACTTCCCAAGTAGAATTTAGTAAAAAAAAAACATAAAAATTGATACCCGACCCGAATCGAACCCGCTGAAATTTTTAAACCGACCGGGACTTGGTCTTTCTGTTTTTGTACAAGAAGCTTCCAATTGCGACAACACTGTATAATCGGTAAGAAATGGCAATGAGATCTGCACTAACTCGGCTCGTCCTGAATCGCTCCATGGAATCAGCTCGGGGACCTATTCGATACTTCAGTGACGGAAAAGGTCGTGTACTCAGCGAAGAGGAGCGAGCCGCTGAGAACGTTTACATCCAGGTTTTTGTTTATCTCTTGTAGTTGATTTGTATCAGATCGTTTAGCTTTCAGTTTGATTCTGAGAAAACTAGTTATCTGAAAGATAAAGACAAAAGAACTGAAATCAAATTAAATAAAGAAAACGAAGAAATGAAGAAAGAAGATGGAATCGGTCCAATTTGTTCTCTCTTATAGTCGATATACTAGAAGAAGACATTCAGTATACCATCTGGTTAGCGTACTGGTGGAATAATTTTGCGCAGTTTGTGAGATTTGAAGTTGATTTAAATTTGATCTTCGATTTTTATTTTCTTTTTCATGGCGTTGTCAGCTAGAACCAGAGTTTTCTCTTTAGGTCTTATGTAGCTCTTTTTGGCTGCTTTATTGTTATTCGATTGTTGAGGTTATTTTACATCATATTAGCCGATATTTTTGATAAAAAAATGTTTCTGGTGAATTAATGGCGCGGTTCATAGTTATGTGGAGATGTTACTTCTATCTTTAACATACACGAGACAACTAGGTCTCGTCATATTCTTTTCCTCAAGTTATTCAGAAAACTGAACTTGCTGTCTTTTTTTCTTTTTTTGAAGTCGTTTTACCTTGTTCTAGAGCTTTTATAACCAGTTGATTCTGTTTCTTAATCCTACATGCTTCCTGTGCTTCCCTGTTAACTTCCTTAACGGCTCTTGATTGTTTCTTTGAAGAAAATGGAGAGGGAAAAGCTGGAGAAAAAGAAGAAAAAGACAGAGAAAGAAAAGGCAGAAAAAGAGAGTGCTGACAAGGTGTTGCTCTTCGTCCCTAATGTAATACCTTTTTATTATTTTTATTATTGTTATCTCATGCTTATTTGATTGTGGAACAAAAGATGCTTTATGTGCTTAGCTAAAAGTTCACTTATCTGCCCATTCAACTACTATTTGTCCTTAGGATTCAACTTACAATATGGGTTTTAGGCAATTGGTTTCTTGGAACTAAAATCTATATGTATCTCATGGGTGGCAAATTGGAAGTGTATCAGGCATCTCATAGAAAAATTCATCCAACTCGTAATTCAATTCCCGAGCAAGTTCAACCTATTTAAGAGAATCAATGTCCTTTTAAATTTTGGTTTAAAGAAATCACGTTACAAGCCATGATGATGTGAGCAATGTCCATCAGCAAAATATTTTAACAAATTTTTCATCCTTGCAATCACCACATGAACAAGAACCTTAAACCCATGAGTGATTTTCAAGTTGTTTTATCCACTTCAAAAATGCTAAAAAGGGTGGGGACGATGTTATATATTGAGATCCAACTTGTTGGTAAGCTACTTTAGTAAATGTTTGAATTTCGATGAAAGCTAGTGAACTTCTAGTCATCATTTTCTACCATGCTAGCATCGAGGCATCTCACATCATTACAATAAGAAGTATTCTCTTAGTCTAGCTTACATTAAAGTCAAGCTTACCCCTTAAGTCAGGGCCATCAACATATTGAATATCATCCTCAAATGGATCACTTGTCTCCTTCTCCATAAGTAAGGCACGATAAGGACGACAAGCAGCTATTCTGTTTACACCTATGTTATCTGGTGGAGTTAATAGAGAGCTTCACTAATAAAGCTGTTAGATTAGTAAATGAAAAGAGGAAGATCGTTGATCTAATTCCTAATTGAGCGTCAACGAGTAAACTACCTCTCTGCTTCTAAGGCTACATGTAATGCTACCTCTAAGTTAGGTTGGGACGTAACTACTTGACTTCTTAATTCCAGTTGTAAATGAATGAACCTCCCAACTTCATGTTGGCAGGGGGGTGGAGATCACCTTGAAGTTGAAGAGGCTGTCAAAAACTTCAGGGGCTGGAAACAGGTCCTGGATGCAACAGCCTACATGCATGATATCCTTGGCAAATTACCTTCATCTTAGTTTGAGAGCTTCCCATTTTGGTCTTTGAGATGCTAACTGATCTTTCGATGTTTCATTTGGATTAGTTTGTGGATTTCTGAAGAGTGACAGTTTGAGAATTTCAGCTCTAACTATTTAAATCTTAGCATATTTATTCAACAGATAGACATCCTAGTGGCAAAATAATCTATGATGATAAATTTATTTGTCATTACCAATGTTCAAATTTCTTTCATCTCATCTTATCGCTGATAATTTGTTGTATCTATTAACCTGATTGCTGTTCCTAGCATTTAAGCATTTTACTATGATGCAGTTTTGGTATATTTATCTGACCTTTGTTTACATTACACCAATCTCTTCCAATTCTTTTTGTTCTTATTCCCGGTTACGATTTTATCTTTTGCAGAAGACTGATGAAGGGAGCAATAAAACATGAGTCGCCATTTGTACCAGATGATGGTGGTCTTTTGTGGAAATAATTAGAGGGAATAAATGTTTGAAGGTGTTTCCTGTTTAGAGTTGTGGACATTCTGGTGTTTGTGGTTTAATCCATCAAAAAGGTTGTTCTGGCCTTTAACTTGGAATGTCTGTGTCTCGTTGGTTCAGTTTCCCTTCTTTTCTTTGCTTGTGAGTGTCATGAGTAGAGATGTTTGGATCTCACATGCTGCCTGCAACTAATTCTGGAAGTGCTGGAATTGTTAAAATCAAGTTATTCATAAAGCTGCAGGGTGCTGCTAGAGAGGGGATAAATAAGTGCAAGCTGGGGATTAAAATCTTGTCATCATCACATGCTGTGCATATAGGTAAGCATTAAATTCGTAAAATTGACAAAGTCTCTCAATGAACTTCTATACGTTGATCTGGTTGACAAGATTTGTTCATTTGCCCTGCTAGCTCTTGCACTTCCCATTGACTAGCTTTCTCTTGCACTTTATAAACACTTAACCTTTTTTTTTATAAATACTAAACATGGAATGCAATATTTGCAGGGTACTGCGTTTTGCAGTCATTGTAAACAGACTGTTAATCATGCTATTACTGATGGTAAACTAAACTTGATGTATAAGTTTTCTTGTGGCAAAAACAATGTAAGTGGAAGGAATAATTTTTTAAAAAGGAAATTATTAAGGCACTTCAGCAGCTTTCTTGAAGGCAATGATATGATAATTTGCAAATATTATTTGAGGAAAACTAATGCTGGAGAGCAAAATAGTTCAATACAAATTCATATGCAACCTAATATGGAAAGTTGGTAATTAAGGACAGTAAAATTTATTCCAATTATTTAACTTCCTCTACCTACAATCTTCTGAAAAGTTCTCTCTTAGTAACTAAAATTCCTTGTATCTATTGTTCACTGCTCGTCTTCAATTCTTGTAGAGAATTTGTTCTCCATCCCCGTCCCTCTCTCCGTGGAAAAATGGAGAAGTTTTACTTTCTTTTCGGTGGAAATTTTCTTTTTAGCTTTTGAAAGTGTAAATTAATTTCAGTTGTAATTGTGCTCATTCTTTCAATATTAATACAATAAATCTATTGCAATATATATGTGTATATATATATATAACAGATTCAGAAATAAAAAACTAAATATCTGAAATGCTTCGTATAATATAAATAATATACGTATACGTAAGTAAAAAGAAGATTATATATATGTATATATACTACTAGGGTAATCAGGATCGTTAGATTTGGAGTCAAACAGGGTATTGGTTCTGTCGTCATTATGAATTCCTCTTAGGTCTAAAACAGATTTGGGTAAGATTGCCACCCGTACACAAAATTCCAAACAGTGCTCCTCCAAAACTCAACATCCATCTATCTCAGCTGGTAAAGTAGTTAGGGGTGAAATCAGTTCAACTAAGTTCAAAATTAAATCAAAGTTAAAACCTGAAAATTTTCAGTCTCTAAAGTCTAGAAATCAGACCAACCAAATTGTCTAAATTAGTTTGATTTGATTTTTTCCTAAATTCCTTTTCAGGCTTGTCTCTTTTGAGGTGAAAAGAAAAGAAAGTTGTACATGGGAGCTTAACAATGTAAAGCGTAAAGGGGGCAGGGAAGAAAATCCTTTTAACAAAAACACAGGATCCCAAACACCATTTTCCATGGTAAAGGTAGATTATAAAAATGATTCATTTATAATCAGCATAACAGAAATGCACTGCTAATACATAAATCACTAAAATTAGCAAACTAAAGTAAATAAGATAACCTCCTTGAGATGGACAAAAATTAGTTTAGAGAATAATCTGTTAGTCCTCTTATCATTTAGGAGGATTAAAGCCAGCTTCGATCTTCTTAATTGTATTGACATCAGTCTTGAACGATTTGGTGAACTTCATCATCAATCCCAGTGGCAAAAAGAGTGGCCGGAACTGAAACTGTTCCGGCATTTGCACTTCCAAAAGCTGACAAAGCAATAGCGGGTGAATTATTGTGAGGATTATACTGGAAGTGAACAAGTCCTTTTGGAAACACAAACATGTCTCCCATGGTGAGATTCTGAGTGTAGAGCACATTCTTTGAGTCAACAAACCCAACTTGCAAGCAACCATAGACAAGAAACAAAAGCTCAGCAGAACGAGGGTGAGTATGAGTTGGGTTAATTCCAGCTGGAGGATATTGAAGCACCGCAAACGATACACTTTGTCCTTCAAGAGCTGGAAACTCCTTGACACCGGCTTTTGTTACTTGAAAGCTTTCAGGATTGCCTTCAAAAACTTTGCGCATTCTGGTGAAAGTAAAAGACTTTCCATCAATGGAGGTTAGGTTTTCCGGGACAATGAAATCTGAGAGAATATCTGGATCAGTTGCTTCAATGGTGGTGAATGAGATCATGGCAAGACCAATAAGTAGAATTAGAAGTGTATGCATGGTTAGGGTTTAGTTTAAATAATTTGAGAAGTTTTCTTCTTGATCTTCTTTGTTACTTATAGAGAGACAGCTTGCTGACTAGGGTTTAAATAAGGTAGTACTGGATGAAGATTACTGTATTCAAAAATGGGAAAAGAGGATTGGATTTCTCTATGTTCATTGCATGTTTTCTTCTTTTTGGATCCGAAAGAAGAATCCAAAAAACAACATAGGAGCTGTAAATAGGAAAAGTGTAAATGTATGTGTTCATAGAAGTGTATTTTATATATCACATATACGCATAGCATATGCATATACGCATACGCATAGCACATGGCGTCATATAAGGAATTTCATGTTGATATTGAAACAAAATCCTTGAATAGATGCCATTTTGTTCTGATAAAATTTGTCTAAAATGGTAGAGGAAACTAAAATCAACTAGAACGATATGAGAATGCACATTGTTGTTGATCTGATTTTTTTACAATGCAATTAACACTGTGATTGAAGTTGTTGGCTTTGGTTTCCTAAAAACACAGTTGTTGAACTGAACCTGATCTTAAACTAAATGACCTTACCATCTTAGATATTAATCTTGCCTAATCAACTTACTTAATTTCTAAATTACTTTTTACATCATCAATTTGGAGTAATATACGTTAAATAACTGCTAAATGACGAAACAATTCTTTTTTTCTTTAAGGGGCATAGAAAAACTCCTCAATAAAAGAAAACACAGTGGACAAAGAGTTTGCTAAATTTTGATATTTCCCAATTTGGGAACCACCCAAATAATCAAGAGTTTGCAAATCATCCGAATAATCAAAAGCTTGTAAACTCAAATCAAGAACTTTACCCTTTTCAAATTAGAAATGCAACTATCGATTTAAAAAACCCAAGAGAGGAACGTGTGAGTTTACAAACTATTATTAAGCATGTAAGGCCAGCAGCATTGAACTGATCAAGCCGAATGCAGAAACTGATCGTAAAGATTTTTAGGTTGGCGGATTTTCAATGCAAAGCTTCGAGATTATCATTTTAACTCTCAAAAAGTCTTAATATAATATAATAATTATGTACATATATATATATGGGATATATTTGGAATGTTGTCTCTGTTACCAGCGGCAATCCAAAGTAATGCCGGAATCAAAGGAATAAAGTAATGCCGGAATCAAAGGAATATACCATGTACAAGAGCCTGCAGATTATCTACATATATATATATATATATATATATATGTAGCCCATAAATATCATCTCAAACATGCATGGTTTAATAATTTCCTGCATGAAACTAAAACATGGAATTTCAACCATATTTCTTGTTCACACTAATACTCGTACTTTTCTCCGTGTTACAAGCCTCCATGGCAGATGATCCACATATCACATCCGACTTTCTTGTTCCAGAAAACTCAAAGGCAATCAACAGCAGTTTCTTCACTCTCACGGCCATGCGAACGCTTTTCAAGCCCAACCCACCTGCAACTTTCTCAGTAACAAAAGCAACCATGGCCGAGTTCCCAGCCCTAAAGGGTCAAAGTGTCTCTTATGCAGCTCTGGAATTCCCAGCCGGCGGGTCGGTGGATCCTCTACACGCTCACCCTCGCTCAGCGGAGCTCCTGTTTGTCGTCCATGGCTGTGTTGAAGTAGGGTTTGTTGACACAAGAGGAAAGCTGTTAACACAGAAAGTTGAAGAGGGAGATATGTTTCTGTTTCCAAAGGGAGTGGTTCATTTTGAGTATAATATTGAGGAGGAGATTCCTGCGTTTGCTGTGTCGGCATTTGGCAGTGCGAGTCCGGGGACTGAGTGGGTTGATGGCGGATTGTTTGGTGCGGAGGTTGAGGATGAGATATTGGCCAAGTCTTTTCAAACTGATGTTGCAACCATTCAGAAAATCAAGCGAGGACTTGAAGCAAAGAAGTGATGAGATATTTCTGATTAAATCTTTTTGATCAAAAGTTGTTTATTCTGATAGTCACAATTAGTTGTTAATCTGATCCAAGACTTAACTTGATATGTAGCAACCCGTTAATCTTCTTAACACAAAGAGAAACTCTATTAAAGTTCTGTATCCAGAAGGTTTATGAGGGAAGCGAGGCATTTATACCTCGGACAAATTGGGTGCAGATAAATAGTAAATCCATTATATCATCGCCTCTGCAGGTGGGTTTGGGCGCTCAAACCACATCTTTACGACTTAAGTTCCATTAACATGACATGTTACTCTTAAACTTAATGTTATTGTAACTCTTAAAGATCTAACTATCTGACTCATTAAATTCAATTGTTTAGTTACTCTTAAATGTTAAATTGTCTAATTCATTGAGTTTAATTGTTTAGTTAAGAAAATATTTATTCAGATTTAATAATCTTCATGTATTCACATTAATTAATCATATTCTAAAAATTTCGTAAATTATATTCATATAAAGTGAGTCTAACGAATATTATATTATTATAACCATATTTTCTTTTAGAAAAAAGGATAATGAAATGTCATTCAAGTAGGCGGGCAAAACTACATCTTGCAATAACAAAGGAGTTAAGAAGGTAACAGGTTCCTACACAATGAAATTACAATATGAGTTATAATAAAAGCTTGGCAAACACCCGACATCAAGCATAGCCATTCACATGGTTCTCCGAAACGATGTCATTTTCGGGAACCATATAAACTCCTTCCCAACTCAATAGAAAAGGGAAGAGTTTTGGTTTCTTTTCAAGTACAACTTGCAATAAAAACAGAGAAGAGGGCTTAGGGTTCTTGTTCAGCATATAAGAAGAAAAAAATGTTATAGTATCAAATAACATAACACAAATGGGGAGAATTTTTCTACTGATTTATTCGATAAGAACTAATAAACAAGAAAATAAGAACTGATTTATACTGCAAATTCTAAAGATTTAGTTCCTAAAAACTTGTTAAAAGATAACAAAATTCCTATAAACTATAACAGATTTATTGGTAACTTTTTCGAGCTCACTTTTTCAACAAACTCTCACTTAAACTAATGATTAAACATGAGTTGATATACCAAAGAAAAACTTAACTTTAAATTGAATTCTTTGAACAAACTCCAAGCAGCTCCCTAAGCTTCTGAAATGCTGTTAGTTTGGGGGCTTTTGTGATCATATCAGCAACTTGATCGTCACTTCTATATTACACAAAATCAATTGTCTCATTTCTTATAAGATCTCTTAAGAAATGATACTGTATGTCAATGTATTTGCTCCTCCCATGAAGAACTAGATTTTTGGATAGCTTTATTGCTAAATTGTTGTCATAAAAAATGGTTGTGGCTCCTTTTTGTTTTAAGTGAAGTTCTTCAAGAATTGGCTACAGCTAAACAGCTTAACAAGCACATGAACTAGGAGCTACAAATTCAACCTTAGTTATTGATAAATTAACAATTAGTTGCTTTTTTGATGACCATGATATTGCTCCAGGCCCCATCATAAAAACATAACCAGATGTGCTTTTTCTATCATTTGGATCACCAGTATAATCACTATCTGTAAAGCTAAACAACTCTGATTTTTCTCTCTTATACATAATCTCGTAATTAGTAATACCCTGCAAATATTTGAATATGCATTTTGCAGGTAAGAGATGCATCTCTTTTGGATAATCCATAAATCTGCTGATGAGACTTACCCCATGCATTATGTCCGGTCTTATAACAGTCAAATACATTAAACTTCCTATTATTTATTTGTAAAGTGTATCATAAACCCTTTTTGCCTTGGGAATCTTTGATAACCTTCAAACCCATTTCTGCTGGTGTACAACTGGGATTGCAATCTTTCATTTTAAACCTGTTTAACATATCTTGCACATTTTTTTTTTTTGAGAAATAAAAATGCTTGCAAATTGAACAACCTATATGCCAAGAAAGTAATGCATCATTCCCAAATCAAACATATCAAATGCAACCATCATGGACTTCTTAAATTTCTCAAACATGGCGTTATCACTTCCAGTGTAGATTAGATCATCAATATATAAACAAACCAAGAGCATTTTCCCACAATTTTTCTAATTTTATGAAAAGTGAATGTTCATAAGGACATTTGTGAAAACCTTCCTTCAAAAAATATGCTTCAATATGACTATATCAAGCACGTGGAGCTTGTTTTAATCCATATAAAGCTTTTTTTAAGTTGTAGACTTTTAGACTCTTCTCCAATTTTAACATAACCTGGGTGTTGATTGAGAAATATACGCTATTTTAATTCTTCATGCAAAAAGGCTTACTTGACATCTAAGTGAAAGATAGGCCATGAATTTTGTGTTGCCAATGAAATCACCAATCTAATCATGTCATGATGTGCAGTAGGAGCAAACACTTGTTTGTAATCGATGTCGAATTCTTGCTTATAGCCTTTTGTGACTAAACGCGCCTTGTATTATCAACTTCATTATTCTCCTTCAATTTCGTCTTATAAACCCATTTAACATCAATGGATTTCACTCCTTTTGGAAGTTCTGTTAATTCTAAGGTATTATTCTTTTCTACAGCTACAATTTTAGCATCCATAGCTTTCCTCCACGTAGCATTTTTACGTAGGAAATTGCTACATGCAAAAGCTATTTACGTAACTTTTGTAGAGAGAGAAAGTAAGAGAGAGAGAGGGCACCGAAACAGAGTACAACCCTGTAAACACCTCTGTTTCGTGCTTAGATGATTTTTAAAGAAGGCAATGGAGGAAATGGTCTTCTATTTTCATTCATATTTGCATGGCTTAAATAAGCCAGTTTATAACCATAAATCCCATTTTCTTGTGCAAGTGATAGACTTGCAATAGAATTCAAAATTCTACCCTATTCGATTATAATTAAATTCAAAAACCGAAATTTAAAATTCAAATACAAGCTGATAAGAATAAATTTTAACTAATTCTTAATAATCTAACAATCCTCCTTAAGAATCAGTCCATACAATTCCTTACTTCTCTCTCATATTTTCGAATTTTCCTTTTCCAAGCAGCTTTGTCAGAATATCTGCAAGTTACTCATCGGATGAGCAATGAGTAAGCTTGATTTCACCACCCTTTTCAGCATCTCTAATTCCATGGAACTTTACATTAATGTGCTTGGTTCGACCATACATCACTGGGTTCTTAGCGATTGCTATGGCCGACTTATTATCCACCTGAATTTCAGTTGGCAAATATGCTTCAAGCTTCAGATCCTGCATTACTTTCCTCAACCATACCGTCTGATTTGCAGCATTTGCAGCAGCAATATACTCAGCTTTAGCTATAGATTGTGTAACCACTTCTTGCTTTTTAGATACCCAGGAGAAAGCACCAGAGCCAAACGAAAATAGATAGCCAGAAGTGTTGCGTGCATCATCGAGACTCCCTGCCCAGTACTATCAGTATATCCGAGCAGCGTTCTTCTCCTTTGCTCATATAAATTTCATAATTTTGGGTACCCTTTAAATACCTCAATACATGCTTTGCCGCTGCCATGTGAGATTGTTTTGGAGATGACATAAATCGTGACAGCAAACTCATAACAAATAACATATCCGGCCTTGAAACTGTGAGATACAGCAAGCTCCTAATTAAGCTCCTGTACATTCTCTCATCCATATTATCACCTGTTTTATCTTTAATTAACTTCAGGTTTGGAATTAACAGAGTAGAGATAGCTTTACACTCTACCAAATTAAACCTTTTAAGGATTTCACGTGCATACTTTGCTTGTGACAGAAAAATTCCGTTATGAGCTTGTTTTATTTCCATCCCCAGGAAGTATGTTACTTCACCTAGGTTGGACATCTCAAACATCTCCTCAAACTGTCCTTTGAATTCTTTCATTTTATATCGATCGTTTCCTGTCACCAGTATATCATCCACATAAATGGCAGTGATCAGCCTCCTGCTATTTTCATCGTGTTTTGCATATAGTGTTGCTTCTGCCTTACTCTTTTCAAATCCACAACACAGTAGGTATTCGTCCAACTTCTGGTACCAAGCTCGTGGAGCTTGCTTAAGGCCATACAAAGCCTTATGTAGCAGATAAATGTGATCATCTTTTCCCTCAACTATGAATCCTTCCAGTTGATCAACATAAATCTCTTCTAGGAGATCACTGTTTAAGAAGGCAAACTTGACGTCCAGGTGCATAACCTGCCACTGGGAATGCGCTGCTACTGCCAGGATCATTATGATGGTTTCGTGTCTTACAACTGGAGTGAAGGTGTCCCCAAAGTCAATTCCCGCAGTCTAGGCATATCCCTTCACCACCAGCCTAGCTTTGTGCCGATTTATAGAGCCATCGGGGTTCAACTTGAGTCTGTAAATCCACTTGACACCAATTATCTTCTTGCCTTCAAGCTTAGGGACCAAAGTCCAGGTTTTGTTCTTTGTGATCATAGCAATTTTCTCCATCATAACATCCTTCCAAGAGGAATATGTGGCTACCTCTTGATAAGTTGCAGGTCCTTTGAAGGCAGAATTGCATGATTTGTACATCTTAGAGAGACTTCTCATCCTAACTCCATCAGTACTTCCATCATTGTTTTCGAACTCATAGGGGAATGGAGCTGGTACAGGTTCATCTCCTCCTGTCACCAGTTTCCCTACCTCATCACGTTCTATTTTTTCTTCTGTCCAATTCCAGTGTGAGCTTTCATCTATCACAACATCTCTCCTAATCATAAGTTTTCTGGAGCTCAGCATATACACTTGGTACCCCTTTATCTCTGTACTATAGCCGAGAAAAATTCTAGGCTCTCCCTTGTCATCTAACTTTCTTCTTCTTTCATCAGGAACTAGGCTGTAGCAAATAGAGCCAAAGATCCTGAGGAGAGTAGTCTTAGGTTTCTTGCCATGCCAAGCTTCAAACGGCGTGATCTTCTGCAAGGTTTGAGTGAGCAGCTAATTAAGCAAGTAAACATATGTGTTTAGTACTTC